TTGGTAACGCGCGATTTGTTACGCAATAAATAACAGTAGTATAAAAAGTATGAGAGACTACAAATTTTGCTGGCGTTCAGAATTAGTTAAATCTGTGTAATATAAGGATTTTTTTTATGGTCACTAAAAAAAGTAAGGATTATAAATAGTAACCTTTTTTATGATACACCTGTTATTATATGTGGATAAAACTCTATTATTATATCTAGATAAAACGGTTAAATCTAGATGCCAAATGCGCGATGAATGATTGAGTATTGTGCCGCAAGAATTTAAAATTCGAAACCAGGTTCCATGATTTTATTTATAGTCAATTAAACAACCATCTAATAATTACATCACAGCGCTAATTATAAAAGTTTCTTCATTTAATTCCTGAATAAAACCGGTTGATAGTCTTTGGGTATAAATGAACATCAAATCAAACAGATGATGTTCTTTGACAATTGATCACGCCGGAAATCACATTAAACCGAGAATTCCGCGTATCACAAAGAGCGAGTCAATTGAGTCAAATGAATCAAGGACGGGGTGAGTGATCAATCAATCCATCTCTGATAGGGGTGTGTTTACCGAGAAAAGCGATAAGATATGATATACAGTAATCCCGATTTCAATGAATTGATAGAAATTGAAGGGTCACAATTGACTCAATAGTCCATTTTCTTTTTAAGCAGGGTCAACGAATGGAAATGGGGGAATGACCGCAACCCACATCAATGGAAAATCTCAGCAACCAATAAAAACCATCGATATTCCTTATGGAGCCATTCTTTATTTTTAGACGCACGCCCACCGCGCACCCTTATATTACGTAATCACTCGCTTAGTACGGTGTAGAAAAGGAAATATCTAATAAATCGTTATCCAAATATGGATATAATTTTGAGTTTGATCATGACTCATACTAGTTATGGTATCAGATCATGTATGAAATCGTGTAGAAAGAGAGCATAACACGTCCTTCCTCCATTGTTCGTAATAAAGTGATCCGTGGATCGGAGAAATAATTTACATAAACTCATCTCTGCTGAAAGTCGACATTTATCAGAAATGGCATACGGGCACCCACGGGGTGGTGCCCCAAAAAAGGATTCCTGGCATCAGGTTTTTTTCTTCGGAAAAGATATACGTCTACGAGTCCACGATCACAATGTTGAGCATAGCCTTTTTTTCTTCGGGTCTTGCCGAAATGCTACAGGAGCAAAGTCATGATCAAAGAGTTTAGCGTTGCTTAGATAAAATAAGATCACATGCGTGTGCTGTAAGCTTTTTACATTCTGCACAAAAAAGCATAGATTTAAATCTTAACGTTTGCATGGTTCCTGTGCGTAATGTTATAAGAGTTAATATGCATAATAAAAATGCATTGCATATCACCATCTCAACATTTAAAAATAACTTCTTGAAAATTTTCCCAGATCTCAAATTTGTAATAAAATGTCGTTTCGAAAATACGAACCCAAAAAATATCGGCTGGCATTTTTAAAAAAATTTTTTTGTCCTAAAAAGTTAATAAATTATTTTAAAATTCTGTATTTGTATATAGTTTAATAATAACATTACACAGACAATATAAAAAGTTTCACAAATACAGCATATTCGTTAAAATGCTGGTTTTTTTCACCAATTTTACTATTTAAATAATTTAGCTAATAACGATAAGTGGCGTGTTTTACTTGATTTAGTTTCGTGACACGGATCAGTATATCAATCTTACGTCACCTCATTTCATGAACACAAATCGCACAAATCGGACATTGAAAATTTGATACAGCCCGGTTTTTTTTCGATATCATATGCCAAGGTTATATTACTCAATAATAACAAAATTAATTAAATTTAATTTAATTATTATATCTAATGATTTTATGATCGAATTTTTTTTATACTGTATACATATTCGACTCAAACTACGCGGTTTGACCAATTCGTATTGTCTAAAGAAACGTGATTTTTATATAATACAAAATTTATTAAAAGATGCAATCACATTACATATCAACAATTTATGATAGGCGCATTCTTTTGAAAGCGAAAATTCAAGAGAAGATTGATTGGCTTATTATCATGTGGTTGGAACTGGTCAAGCTGCCGGTTAGGTTCAGTTCCTGTAGTTTGGAAGCTAAACCGGTTATTTAAAAACCTCACTACACGGTATTATTATAATAAAAAAATTTTTTTGATTGTATGCATATACACATTATGCAGTATATGGGTAATTATTTTTGAAGGCAGTAAAAATGCTAGATACTGTATGATTTTTTCGGTCCCTACTTTTAAACAATACATACACAATGTAAATTTTAGGATCACAATTGTAGTGACCGAAAAATCCCTGTCCGCCTTCGAAAAGAATTACCCAATATACCGTAGATATACCGCATATTTTTGTTTATAAACGTAGTGGTATTTTCACTATTCTTCATTTGATGTAAATAAGATTCTTGTACATACAGAGGGAGTTTGGCATCAGTCTTCCATATACTGTATTTCAATGGACAAACTATAACCTGTTATGAAATAACATGTTAATGCTACTATTATTACCCATCACATACATTAGATATATTGCATATTATAAATCATTATTCTAAATATTAAATATATAATTATAAAATAACTTAAAAAAATTATTTCAATCGACTAATAATAATAATAAATACCATATAAAACATTTGGTTCAAAAAAATTCAATCAATTCATGATTAAATAAAAATTTATTAATTTAATACAAAAAATTTAATACAAAAAAAATAATTAAGTTTTTCAATAATATTATTTATTTATATTTTTAAAATTTTAACTTTTTGCAAATCACAAATTTCCTAAAAATTTTTTTTTTTAATAATACACAAAAACACTTCAAAAAATATCAAAGAGCTTTCAAGAAAAACCTTTACTAAGAAAAAACACTTTATTGTTTTCTTCAAAACCAAAGGAGAATATACAAAACATATAAAACAAATATATATTGAATTTAAAAGAATACTAACTTTTTTCTTTTATTTTTTACAAATAGATATATATTTGTTTTTTCTTATTGAAAAAGAAAAAACAAGAAATACAATTCATAATTAAATAAAAGAAAAAGTAAACATTATATTTTACAAGCTACTAACCAATCATATATCAGGTTAGATATTTTCTTAAACATTAATAGGACTTGGTATTAGTCAGATTATATCCAGTAAATTAGACAACCTTGTTATCAACACAAAATCAGAAGAGTATCAAGACTTTCTTAATACTGTAATTAAAAAAAAAGTATAAATTAAAACAACTTTATAATATAAATAACAATTGTTATACAAACAAAAAATTTTTTCTAAAATCAAAAATCAGAACCAATTTATCTTCTTTTAAAGATCAACAATAGCACAAACATGTATTTTTTATATAAAAACAAACATATTCAATATTAAATTTTCAAATTAAAATATATACAAAATAAACAATATATAATTAAAAAAACAAATATCAACATCAAATAATATGTTTTAATATTAATTTAATATATAGTGGGTGGTTAAAAGTCACCGAACAGTTTAAAAAAAATTTTTTTGGAAGTCCCATAACTTCCAATTTACACGAAATTGTATCATAAACAAGTCATAGTTATGTAGTTATTTATTTACATTTTTCTTTATTTTTTATGTATTTATTTAATTTATTATATATTAATTTAATTTAATTCTTTTTTTTTTAGGCGATCTACATGAAATGCTGAGAAAAGAACTAACGGAAGTACAGAGGACTACCATTATTTACAGACACAGCCGTGATGATTCTTATGTCCAAATAGCCGAAAGAGTTGATTGTGATCGTACTACAGTTTTTGATACTATAAAACACTATGCCGAAACAAATTCTACTGTATCGAAATGTCAGATCGGGCGACCTTATCTCGTCAAGGCATTACAATACAACCATTTCAAGAAAATAGTTACTAAAAAAAATCTTCATCTTATAGTTAACAAAATACAAACTCTTTGGTAAAAAAAAACTGGTCAGATACTTTCTATACATACTGTCCATCACACTCTTGGTCTTGTGAGCTTAAAAAGTTGTATTACCCAATGCAAACCTTTGATTTTGCCGAAGAATATTGAAGCACGGTTGGCATAATATAAAGAATATGAAAATTGGATGACAAATAATTGATCCAAAGTATTATGGAGTGATGAATCAACATTTTCACAGTTCCAGCAACTTCAAAATAGCTGTGTTTGGAGAGAACCAGGGGAAAAGTAGCTTTTGGATTGTAAAGATGAATCTCTAAAGTATTTAGCATATAAAATTTATATCCCTTTATATCCATGTCCCCTAGAGGACATAATTTCTAGCTTTTTATTTCAATAGGGATATAATTCCAGAAATGATTTATATAGATGCTTAAAACTATAAAGAACCTTTGTAGGTAGTTTTTTTTTATTTCTTAATATAGAAATAAAAATTTTTAATAATAAGGGACATTTGAATTATGTCCTCACAAATAATTTGGGGACCTATCTTTATTGGATTGTGTCGCAAAAACTGTCAAATACAGTCCAAGTCGAATGCACTAGGGGTGCTTTTCACAACAAGGAGTGGGTCTGATAGTTCCATTATACAGTTCTGTAACTGGAAAATCATATATTAAGATTCTTCATAAATATGCATTACTTATATTATGATATATATTTTCCAATAGTAACTACTGGTTTCAAGATAATAATGCGCCACCTCATTATTCAAAAGTGGCTATGAAATTTTGTGAAGAAAAAATTGTTTACTTTCTTTCATGGCCTGCACAAAGTCCAGACCTAAACCCAATAGAAAATTTTTGGGCTGAGATTAAGAAGAGTATTCAAAGTTGTAAAAATAAGCCATATAATTTGACAGAACTTGAAAAGTTTGTCAAATCTGCATGAAAAAAAATCTCTGTATCAATGATCGAATTACTGGTAGACAATATGCCGAGATGGGTATCGGCTGTGATTTCGGTACATGGGGACCTATGAAATATTAATATATTAAATATATTAATAAAATAATGTATATTTAAAAAAAAATTTTTTTTAAAAATATAATTAGTAAAAAAAAAAATTTACTATTGGCATTTGAACTGTTCGATGACTTTTGGCCACCTACTGTAACAACAAATTAATATAATAATTAATAAATATATTAAATAACAAATGTATTAAACAATATACTGTATATATCAATATATCAATATTGCAATATATTAAAATAACAATATATAAGCAAATAGATTATATATTAAAAACATATTAATAAAATAATATAATAAGAAAATAAAATATGTTATCACAATAATACAAAGACAGATTGAAATAATAGAATACTTTTTTACACTTAAAAATAATCACCAAGTAAATAATAAAATATGATTTTACAAAATAATATACAACTATCATTACAAAATCGAAACAGAAGAAATTAATCTAAAAATTTTTTTTAATATTATCATGCTGAATACAATCATCACAAAGATAATGAATATTGACTTCAGATAGATTATTAAAGCAGATATTATTTGCAAATATATAAAAGATCTATGAACTAAAAATAAAATATATATGAATATCCTTAATAAACATATTATCAAAAATCTATTAGACAAACTTATTATCTCTATAATACTTAGATCAAGTAATTACAATCTTTAAAATAATCTTTTAATAACAGAAATGCTTTTATATCCAACTAAAATAGAAGTATCCAATTCTTAGTAAGAAGAATTCATTATATAAGAAATTATTATATTAGATACAAAAGAAATATAAAAAGAAGTAACAATAGATATCACAAACATATAAAAGAATAAAATGATAATTGACATATACAATAATATTAGAGATATTATGAATTATCAAATAAAAAAAGAACTATTTAACCTATTAATCTATTCTTTATAACTAAGAAAAGAATATTTATAGCAGATATTTTAATGGTAAACACATTAGGCAAAAATAAAGATGAACAAATTAATTACCTAATACATATCTTTAAACTATCAAAGACAAAAAATAATCTTATCAAGATTAACTTTATCAATGGAAATTACTGATATACAATTTATTTCAAACTATAATTGAATCTTATAGGTTGTATTGAAAAGATAAACAAGACCAGTGAGTCAATAGCACAGTGAGTAGTGCTTCCTGGTCTCCAAATGCATGTCTCTAGTTCAATACCCATAGGAAGCAAAAACACATAATA